TATGGCCACTTGGGAGACAGTAGACAGTGCGGTTGAGTTATTCCGATAAGATCTTTGCGCTAATAAAGATTTATTGGGGGATCTTGCCAAAATAACAAATATTGGGACAGCTTCCTTTAGCTCTATTCAGGCCAAGCAAAAGCAACCAGTTGGACATAGGATTTCTATTATTTGATTCTTAATTGGCACCAAGCTGAATAACGATGCGATTACGTCGAGAACTGAATTGGATGTCCTTACAGTATGCGGATTACCTTTTTCGTCGTGAGTTTAGCTCAAGAGAAAAATACGCTTGGTCTACGGTCTTGTTTGCGAGATAAACGGAGCGAGAGTGAATGAACAATAAGATTAGAAACCAAGCTCAATGAGCAGAAAACTTAATTTTCAATGGTTTCGTCAAATTCCATAGGGATTGATTAGGACGTTAAGGTATTGGCTTCTAGCAATATTATGTCCGAGGATTGGTATGCACCATATATATACGATTTTTTCAATTAGCAACTTATTTTATATCTAACTATCTATAGCTATCGGCTCATCGTTTTTTAATATACGCCATGTTGATTAAATTGATAAGCGATTTATAAAATAAAGGTGAGGAAAAGTTCCCTCCACCTACCTCCGGAATCCAGTCAATCGAATGTCGAGCTTATGCTTGATTTCTACATAAGATTGGCATCCATACGAACAAGGGAACTCTCCATCGGAGAGACGAAAACGTACTTTTGTACCTTCGGGGACCTAGATGACGTATTTGAATGTTTTAAGAGGGAGAATAGATCAGAAAAACTTACTGATATCCTCCAGTAACAAACAATATCTTTTCCTGGTGGACTGTTCAATGTTTGCCATTGATCCGATGCATGTAGTTCACCGCCACATGCTAGATTATGAAAGATGTAAATGCCAATAAAAGTGTGAAATTTTGGAAAAAAAAGCACAAGATTTGCTCACATGAGCGCAAGCCATTGTTCTAACGGAAAACCGTCATAAACTGTGGATTGAAACTTATTTTATTGCTTGGAATTTATGATTTATGTGTTTGATTTAGATGGAATTAAAAGTTCCTTGGGGCTGACTGTCATGAGACAATTTTCGTGACATTGATATGGGATTCTGACAACTGAAGTTGATAGTAAAATGTTTGAAATATGCGTAGAAGAAAAGTTAAGAAGTTAGATCTACTTGAGCTTATGATATGCCAAAATTTTTTGTGGGTTTTGAGGAAAACTCAATGAAGAAAGTAAATAACAAGTCAAGCTTACCACTTGGTTGTAACCGACCACAATCAGGTCCGCCTAGTCCTTCAGGACACCGACATACAGCACAGTTATTCGGATCTGGATAGCCTCCAGCCAAGCAGTTCAAATTTGACCTGCCGACGCATGCATCTAGGAGGATCAGTTGTATTTGGATAAAAGGATAAATTATTAAAGCAAGAATAGAACAATTCTTTAGAATAAGATTACTATTTAATTTGAGGATTTGCTCATAACGATTGACTGATCATAATTTATCAAAGCATATATTAAAATATCACATAGTGTGAGTACAGGTTATGTAATAAGTTGTCATTTTGTTTGATATACACAGTATCTAATTTTAGTAAAATTAGTTGATTTCCTTACAATAGATGAGTTTTTCATATCATATAATTTATGAATAAAGTTCATTTGGTGAAAATAATTTACTTTTGTAACATAATTGTCTCACTCTTTTCCATCAGGCTATCGCTAGAAAAAAACTTGCTTAAGATAAATAAGAATGTGAGAAGTCAAAATGACTATAACGAAAAATAAATGTGGAATCAATGTGTAGATATACTTGTACGTCGTGTACCATTTAAAAAATGTGTTTAGGCCCAACCATTTACTTCTCCATATGGTCATAATTATCTCTTTTGAAGAATCGTATTTCACCCGTTAATAATTTTTAATGGAATTCAACTATAATGTACTTGGCATTAGGTGCAATTGTAACAGTTGTACAATATATGACAAAGTGCTTTTGATTTGTTGCATAATTTTACGATTATTCAGTTATATGCCTAATGCTGGAACTTTCGAAACTTC